TCTCTTTCGATATTTCGTTGAGACGTTTGGAGATTATGGAGAAGCAACCGGTAGATTTGCCAGTTGTCGACAGTGACTATAAGGAACAGCTGAGGTTGTTCTGCAACTATGCGGAAGCTCGTAATCCTCCGAACGATAATGATCTCCGTCACTGGGACATTGGTCTTTACCTAACCGGATTAAATTTTGATAAACTTTTGAAAGACGATTCGTATAATTATGTTCTGGGAGCATCTTACACCCGTGGCGTATGCATCAAAAATTTTTCATGCTTGATGGCAACGTTCCATGCTACTGAAATCATATCTTCGGGTTTAAAATCATCTATTATTGGTGCCCATGAGGTTGGTCACGTGTAAGTATATATAAATTAGTTTTATACGTATGAATTAAGTAAAATATACATTTTATATTTTAATTTATTTAATCGTACGATTTAAAGTCAACAAGTAAAGAATCTCTTTCTTCTTTTTTTTTGTGAGAAATTTGATTCTTTGATTTTTTATCTTTGCAATACGTTAACTATGTATAAACTATAAAATATATAAAGATATTTTAATTAAGTAATGTGAAGTAAAATATATATTCATGATTACTAATTTATCTGTTCAATAGTTTAGGATTAACACACGATTCAAAAAACTCAGGGGACAGATACGAATACATAATGTCGACATATTATACCAATAAAATTCGGGTAGCATGGTCCGAGCAAAGCCGTAAAACAATAAATAAATATCCGTTTAAATGTCTTCGAGATCATGCCAGACTCGAAGATGACACATATGTATTTGAAAATCAAAATTATCTCAATTTACCCGGAAGAAAATGGACTGCCAAAGCACAATGCGAATTATTTTTGCGCGACAAGAATGCAAACGTAGTCACGTTACATGATATATGCCAAAATTTACAATGCGAAACCCCTCACAAAAATATATATTATTTCACGGGACCGGCGCTAGCAGGTACGTTTTTTATTCTTACTAGATACTACAGCGTTAAATTTATCGATTTTTTTTAGGAACTGATTGCGCACACGGGAAGGAATGTCGCGGTGGAGAATGCGTACCAGTTATCGTGCCGCCATACAATTTCAAGGATTGTGAAGATGACAACTGGAGTGAATGGAAGAAAGACACCTGTAAAAGCGGTTGTTTGCCAAAATCTAAAGGCGCATTAGTCAAACGACGTTTTTGCAAACATGAGACTGACAGAACAGCCAATTGCTTTGGATCATATTACGACGTGGTTTTGTGCGATGATTTTTCACTATGTAGACAAAAACGCAAGACAATCGCCGAGTTCACTACTACGAAATGCACTGAATTCAGCCGTATCATGTTTGACCTGACAATGAAGCCGGGATGGCAGGCACCTCATGAAGTTGATAAACCGTGGGTAGCCTGTACTATATATTGTGTACGAGAAGACTATTCTACTTATGCACCACGCTTGGAAATGCTCGACCATGGTATCAATCCGTATTTTCCCGATGGAACGTGGTGTCACAAAGTAAATGATCAGAATTATTACTGCCGCCAGCATCGTTGTCTGCCGCAAAGCTACTCATTTGGAGAATAATGGTAAAGATACTATCCATATGTGTTATGAATATTCGGTGAAAAGAACATTACAAAGTGAGTCAACGGTTTTAAATTTGTTTTGTACCAAACATTATTTGTTATTTATTTGCGTGCAAAAATAATTTCGGCATTTTTAAAGAATATAGGATATATTGAATAAATATAAGTTTTTAATGGGTTTTTTTTTGGAAAATGTACTAAGTAATTTTGTTTTACTAAACACACAAGCACATGCTACTCATGGCATTTATTTTGGTAATTACAACAAAATATTTATTATTACTATATCTTTGATAAAAATAATATTATAATATAACTATTCCTTGGTGACATCTTTATCCGTCTTTTTCTTTCTTTTTTAGGTTTTGTAGAATATAAAATTTTAGCAATATTTACATATAATTATGATATAATTTCAATTTGAAACAATTATTATGCAAAATTGTATATATTAACATTTCTTTTTGCTTTATCATTATTGTTAGAATTAAAATTTTTTTAATTTTTATGATTAATAACAAATATTCGGTGAAATAATTCGATGAAACGTAAATAAATTAATAATAAATTTGGAGTTGAATTTTAATGTATTTTTTCTTTGCATTTTATTTCGTGTAGGCAAGCAATGTAATGTTTTAGTTATCTAGAAAATTAGATTGTTATTGATTAAAATTTGACATTTGTGAATAAATAAAATATTTATAAATAATATTACATTTTTTGCATTTTAATCATAGATTGTATTTTTTTTAAATTCCACCGTTATCGCAAGTGTCACGTGCCAAATATATGATACATAACTGAAAGGAAAACAATTATGTATGTATATATATATATATATAAGCAAGAAGATATACACAATAGATGTTATATAATATTCTCAAATCCAAATGACAGTGCGTGTTTCATACGCGATCTTCTAAGTTATAACAAATGTAGGTGTCTTATAAAGTATGTATATAAAAATTGTAATATATAAAAGTGCTTTAACAAAATATTTTCAAGTATTTGAAATCGAAAAACGCAAATAAAACATGCTTCTTATATTGAAATTGGTGTTAATAACTTTATTGAATGTAACGTACGCGTATATCACACAAGATAGTGAAATAATATTGCTGCCGGCATGGAATCCGACAGGCATGAAGAAGGTACGTTCGTTTTATGGTAGTGTATTATTTGTTGCTCTGCGTCCAAAGCGTTAATTGAGAATTATCCAGTATTTTCTTAATTATCCAATTTGCAGATACCATTAACTTTGAAAGTTTTCGGAAAATTAATTGAGCTGAATCTGCGTAGAAACGATCGGACTGTATTATCTGCGTTTGAAGTATGGAAATATAATGCAAAAGGCGTTACAGAAAATTTGTCGCAGTTAAAAGCATCAAATTCTTGTTTTTATCTTCACGAAGATCATGTCAGCTTTGCGGCCATCAACTTTTGTCGAGGAAATGGATTGGTCAGTAGTATCATATGAAAACAAACTATTTGGAAAATGTTATGTCTCAATTTTACCTTTGATTATTTCTATTTTTCAAATAAGCATGTCACGTAAAAAGCAAGTATATTTTTCTTAAAAGTAGGAAGGAATCATTTTTATGGAAAACGATACATTAGATATTCGGCCTTTGCGGAACGAGTTTGAGCCTCTGTCCTTAATCGACGACTTTTGTGTTAAAGAGGAAATTAATCTTTCATTTGGCAAACGTCATCTTGTTAAAAAGTCACAGCAATATTTTGGTGATTTAAATCAGTTTCACAGGTACAATTTTAAACCGAAGCGACGTCGCGTTCGAGAATTGCAAGTAAGGTTGACCATAAAACTTGCTGTTTTTTTCGACGAAGTAGCATATCGCTCAATCATGCCTCTTCTGAGCAATGATAAGGAAAAATTACGCTATATGATATTAGCGTATGTAAATTGTATTCAGGCTTTATTCCATCATGTTTCTTTGGGATTCCATCATTCCTTCGATATTTCGTTGATACGTTTGGAGATTATGGAAAAACAACCGTTAAATTTACCAGTTGTCAGCGATTACTTTATAGATCTATTGAATGCGTCCTGCAATTACATGTACACTCACAATCCTCCGGATGATAATGATCCGCGTCACTGGGACGTTGGCCTTTATCTAACCGGAAGAGATATTTATTATAATTTGGACATACCAATAATTGGTAAATATTTGGAGACTTATTCCATTTTGGGAGTATCCTACCGCAATGGCATATGCACACCATCAAAAAATATATCTTGCGCAATAACAGAATTCCATGCATCTGAAATCATATCTTCAGGTTTAACATCATTTTCTACTGCTGCTCATGAGATTGGCCACCTGTAAGTTTATATATACTGGGTCATATCTAACTTTCTATATATTAGTTTCATCTGTACAAATTAAATAAAAATTAAATTTTATATTAGAATCCTTGTAATTGTACAGTTTAATGTCAACAAGTAAATAAATTTTTTGGAAAAATTTGATTTTTTAATTGTTTATTTTTGTAGTACTTTAACTATGAATAAACTACAAAATATTAGGTCCTTGAATAAGTTCTCGCTGTTTCTTAAAAGATGGCGTAGCGGCACTCTGTGCATGGAATTTCGTACGGAAACGCATCAGCTAAGTAGTACTATATGTAACCTCAAATTCTAGTAGATACAGTTTACCACAGTGTCAACCACGTGTTTAATTACCTATTGCGAAAATGTCTACTTTTGTGCCAAATAAAGTGTTTTTGCGGGGAATTTTATTGCACTGCTTTATTCAAAAGAAATCTGCAGCTGAAGCACACAGAATTCTTGTTGAAACATATGGTGACAATGCTCTGTCGAATACGACATGCAGAGACTGGTTTAGGCGCTTAAATAATGACTTTGACCTTGAAGATAAAGAACGTTCTGGAGCACCGACAAAGTTTGAAGACGAAGAAACCTAATGAAACTATCACGGGAGCTCGCTATCGACTTCAGATGATGCGTTTGAG